GGATTAATGAAGGCGTTTTCAGTAAGAAAATGTTTTGAATCATCCATAACAAAATATTATTGAAAGCATTTTTCACCCAAATTGTCTTCAATAATCCCACCTAAAAATATATTGTGTGGAATATTAAAGGCATTTTAGAACAAAAATGCCTTTAAGAATTTGTTTCAAATATTGTATATGGATTATTGAAGGTATTTTTGACAAAAATCACCTTTCATAATCTCTGTTAAAAATTTATTGATTGAATTATTGAAAGCGCTTTCACACAAAAACGCCTTCAAGAATCCATTACATATTTTTTCTATGGATTATTAAGGGCGTTTTTCTATCGAAAACGCCTTGAATAATCCCTAAAAAATAATATTAAAGGCATTTTTCGACAAAAATCACCTTCAATAATTTGATCATTCAAATTTATCATGTGGAATATTAAAAGTGTTTTGAGCCAAAAATGCCTTCAAAAATCCGTTCTAACTTTGTGTATGGATTATTGAAGGTGTTTTTGATAAAAATTGCCTTTAATAATCCAAACTATAAATTTATTGATTGGATTATTAAAGGTGAGTTCGGCCAAAAACGGCTTCAAGAATCGATTTCATTTTTTTTATGGATTATTAAAGGCATTTCTCTACCAAAAATGCCTTCAATATTCTCTCCAAATTTTTTTAAATCAATTGATGAAGACATTTTTACCCAGAAAACACCTAGAATAATCAATTACAAATAATATCTGCAAAAATCCAAAAAAAGCTAAAAAGAGGGATCGAACCTACAACCTTATGGTTAACATCTGTACAATCCTAAAATTTTGATAGAATATTTATTGAAGGTATTTTTGAACAAAAACACCTTCTATAAGCTTGTATAATTTTTTGGTGGAATTATTAAAGGCGTTTCTTGTAGAAAACGCATTTAATAATCACATACATTTTTTTATGATGAGATTATTGAAGGCATTGTTTGCCAAAAATACCTTTAGTAATTCCTTATCAATTTTTTAACGGGATTATTCAAGTCGTTTTTTGTCAAAAACACATTTAGTATTCATTCAAATTTTTAAGACAGAATTATTCAAGGTGTTTTAGTTGATAAACGCCGCTAATATCAAGTCTTGGGTGGTGTTTATAAGTAACAACGCCGCTATTTGAATATTTAATGATGTTTTGATAATAAACACCTTAAGTTTTATAAAAACACGAAAGCTAAGGGCATTTGTAAGTGAAACGCCGCTACAAAACTGCCACTAATATTTTATTTTCTTGTAGTGATATTTGGTATGATTTATAATATTATATTTGCATGATAATTTTTGCATGGTATGATTTAATATTTATTGCATGATTGTATGATTGCTTGATATTTTGATAGATTTTTCATATCACTATGTTTTGTAAATAAATAAAAAGATTGGAATTGATTTATTTGCATGATAAAACTATTTTTGATAAGGCTTAGGTAAGAACACATAATTAATTTGGTGCCAATTTTGGGCGTAAAGGGGTGCTAATACATTCTTTACACGTAACCGACTCCCAAATCTTAGTTCTGATGATATAAACTAGAACCTATTCCTTTTAGGGACTGTTAGTTTACACTTAGGACAACCTTGAAAATGATAGATTCACACCAGTGACTAATCACACCTAGAAAGAAACTATTGGTGGTGATTCCATGAGTTTTGTGTCTAATGGGTAGGTTTTCCCAACCTAAAGGTTATGACAACCTTTACAGAACTTTTCAATCACATTCATAGACGTTTGAGAGGACATGGTGACTTTGCTAACACAAGTCCAGAGTTGTTAGTGTAAGTGACTTTCAAATGACTAAATAATGATGAAATTGTTACCTTGCTTTATTGAAATAAATGATATCTTATGTGTTTTGTGATATAGACTTTGTGAAACCGTGAAAACTATTGTATAATTTGTTTTGTACTTCTAGTTGTATATTGTGATGATGATTATGTATCATTATTGCTAATCAAGTATTACATATTTTGCATTATAATGATGATTGTGTATTATGGTTTTTTATGAACTATATATGTTAATAATATATTGCAATAACTACTTATTTGTGAAAGGTTTCTGCGTGTTATCTAGATGAGATCACATTTGTAAAAGGCAAAAATTATTTTGTATTTTTGTTTGTAATTCTGTTTGTGTATTTTTTATTGTTGATGAAGTATATCGTAAAGTAATTGAAAGCAAAGACATTGTAGGAAGTCATGTATTAAGGTGTATAGTTTGGTGTATATTAAAATGCAATGAATTTGTAAAATGTGAAAATTTTGCTTGAAGTTGTGAATTGTTTGAAGTTATTAATTATTTGAAGTTGTGAATTGTTTTGAAATTGTGATATTTTAGTGAACTATATGAATCCTATAATAATAATTATTGCTTTAAACTTTTTATAAGAAAACGATGCTACTGTATTATCTCAAAAATACGGTGAAGACTATTCCAACATCCAGAATTCAATCCACAAGTATGGACCGAAGCTATTGATGAGTTAAGGACTGAACTAAGAGCTAACTTAGGTCATTCATGGAGTAGATAATGTAGTTGATGGGGTCTAAATAGACTCCACCATCACAAATTTTAGACCTAATGACGGCATCGAAGATTCTTGATTATGAGGTACACTAGCAGCATAGTGACATTTTCTATTAATTTGTATGAGGTATTGGATGGATGGATGCTATGAATGTTTTATGAATTGATATTTTATGATGTTATGGATATTTGATAGATGTTCGATGAATATTGGATGATGTATTTGATGAATGTTACCTTGATTTTATGTTTTAATTAATAATAATAGCATATTTAAATTGTAATTTATAGGGTTTGTAAATATTTACAAGTTTTTTGAATAATTATAAATCTTTTTATTTAAATTATTTATGAATTTGTACTTTTGTCGACATAATTTTTATTATTATCGATGAATTTATCAATGAAAAAAAATTTTTGTGACCATTTTCATGGTTATAACTGACAGTTTTACCAATGAAATTTTATTATTACCGACAGAATTTTAATTATCAATGATAGATTTTTTTATTGCCAAACCAATAGAAAAAAAAAAACCTGTTATCGATGGATTTATTGATAATTTTATCAATGGAAAATTTCATAGCTAATTATTGACGAAAAATTCCATAGGTAAAACCCTCGCTAGTAAATCCATCAGTAAGCATTATCGTAAGAATAGCATTACCAACATAGTTAGCACCGACAGTTTTTTTCTATTGATAGAACCGTCACTAAAAGTATTACCTACGGATTTTCACCTTTTACTGACAGAATATTCCGTCGACAAAGCCTGTTTTTCTGGTAGTGTAACTTGGATTAAGAAAATTAAAGAAGATATAATTCTTATGGAGGAAAGATGGTAGTATAATCGAGAAGAGTATGTGGAGTCAAATACAAGAAGTAATAAGAGACTGAACATACAATAGAATCCTCCATCTGAAGCTTTTTTGAAGTTCAATGTGGATGGTGCAGCAAGAGGAAACCCAGGGCCTTTTGGATATGGAGGAGTCTCTGGACCATTGGGGATTTAGGATTCTAATATAGCAAAACTGATGGCTATTAAAATGGCTTTGGAGGTATTCTGCAAAACAGAATGGAAAAATAAAGCCGGCTCGATTATCGAATCAGACTCCAAATTAACAGTGTCCTGGTGTCGAAAGGTGGAAAATAGACCATGAAAGCTACGGTAGATACTTAATGATATTGACAGATTGAAACAAGAGGTGGGCAATGTAACAGTAACAAATATATATAGAGAGGCAGATGGAATGGCTGATTCATTACCAAAAGCAGGGGTGGATAGAACGAATATGTTTTCAGCTTGATGGTAGCTCAAATTGGGGGGCTGATATAGAAATCTATAGCTTTTAACAGGATACTGTTAGGGGGAAAGCTATCTAGGTTGCCTATGATAACATTGTACAACAAGGTGAATTTTCTGTAATGCATAGAGGGGGTTGTTTTGTTCAAAGTTGAAAGACTGAAACTAGCATATATTGCTGTTCTGTAGCACTCTCCTTTATAAATAAAATCCGTTCTGATTTAACAAAAAAAAAATAGTGGGGATAAAATGTAAAAATATTAAAACTTTCGTCTAACACCAGAATATACTTATAAAAGGTTTTAGGATTTCCGGTGTAAATCCGTCTTTGGGTTTCGGAATTTCAGGCAGAAAAAGAAATAAAGTGCAAGAAGTTTCTGCTGGTTGTGTTAGGTGATGGAATTCTTTGGCCATAAATAAGGACTAAGGAAAGAAGGAGGAGGTGGTAAAAGACAATTTTACGTACCATCTCTGCCACAATAGTCATATTTATTTTCAGCTTCAGCTTCAGCTTCAGAGATATTCCAGATTCAAACTATTTCGTCACCATATCAATTGGACCAACCCGCCGCCATGTTGGCTAAAAACCATGAGATCAGTTAAATCTTGAAGGTTTAGTTGTAGATGTCTTGACTTTTTAGTTTAAAATCTAAGATGAATTTTGATACAAGATTTATAACATAAGAGACGACTACGTATTTCATTATGCACCTCAAAATTTTTTATAGTGGAAAAAAATACATACAATTCATTTACATTCTTATGATTCTGTTAATCAAGCGAATTAATTACAAACCAATACGTGTTAGGATTGTTTGATGCTTGATTTGGATGCATGTTGGGTGGATCTGTGTTTTATGATTGGATCCCTAGTTCCCACCACGCATCCAAATCAATCCTCAGTAGTCTGAATTGATGCATTATTCCATTAGAAAACAGAACAGTGAGAAAAGTGGAATAAATTAACTTCGGTGGCCACAAACTATATTGCATATTTTCCAATTTTTTTTGGAGTCCCAATTTGTTCAATCAAGTTCTAACTAGCTAGGAAGATAAATGGTGATTGTTAAAGATATTTCTGATAATAATATAATCAATTGAAGTTCCGGGTTCATACATCTACAAATCTTCTGCTCTAACAATTACATATCCTGCCAAAGAAAGCTAATCAGTGGAGACCCGCATTGCAATTTTTGCTGATTAATCTTTTCAGGGTGCAATCGTTTCCTGCCATTTAGAGGGACTCCGAAAAGCTTCACAGTTCTGTTGTTAGGCTCCTTTTCTGTTAGAGTCACTGATGACTTGCCAAAAGCGCTGGTTTGAGCAGTTTCAATGCCAGAACGGATTGGATCCTCGAAAGAAGGACCCAATTCTATGATCTTCGGTCCTAAGCTGTTAGCCTTTTGCGGGTAAGGCATTGGTTTTGCATAATTTTGGATGAAATAGATAATGTCATTGTAAAGGTTCTTCATGTGAGTGAGTTCAGACACTAGCATGTAGTTCTTTCTCCGCAGTCTCTGATTGTCTTGGCTAAGCGCTGTTAGAATATCGATGCTGGGTTTCCTAGATGGCGGTGGAGACTCCATCCAACCAAAGCTTTCTTCTGCTTTGAGAAACTGAGGTTGTTGTTCATGGTAGTGGTATTGGTGGTTTTGAGGGGTTTTTCTTCTATGGATCTCTGATAGCAACTGCTTTTCTCCTTTCCTGAAATACTCGTTTGCAAACTCCCATCTGTGTGCCACTACTTTCTTGAATCCCTGTAAATTTTTTAGCCATTAACAAGATTGAGAAACATTTAAACATCTTTCAACACAAAGTCTCAAATGAATTGAACATGAAAAAAAAAAGAAAAAGAAAACAATAAGATAAATATCTTGATGAAAGATGGATGAACAGCACAATGCTTAAGTAATCAAGGCTGAGAAACATAAAGCCTGGAAAACCATTTCAAATTAAATTTCATTCAAAGCAAAACTAAGTTGGGACAGAGAGAGGGAGAGGCTCACATAGGTATTGAGTTGCTTGACAAAACTGTAGAAATTGTTGTGCTTAAAATAGTTTGGGAGAAGATCCCTGGCAAACTCAGGGGGTGTCCACACAACAAAGCTTGTATCATATTCACCCCAAGAGACAATGTGATCTGTGAGAGGGTCGTCAACAAGCTGGTAAGTCTTTGTAAGAAATGGTGCAGGAACTGCCTTTTGGGATTCCACTGAGAACACCAATTCATCATACCTCTTCATTGTAAATGCCATTATACCTAATATTACTACAGATTATCAATCAAGTGGTAGTTTCTCTCCTCATTTCACTCCAAGTATAAGGTGTTTAAAGGCTTAAAGCACTTGCCAATTCTCTCCCTCTTTCTACGTTTCTATAGTTTATAACTTTAAGGAGCATATGACCATGTCAGCCAAAAAATTGAATATTTCTAGAATTACTATAATAAGATCCAATGAACAATTACTTAGCTATTGATCGTCCTCTTGACAGCAGAAGTGGTGGTGAATGGAGGTGATGTTCTTGAAATCTTGGAACTTCTCCCTTGATTAGAGCGCTCCCAATTTCAGAACTGACTATCTCTTCTTAATTCAGTGACCTTTATTACTTTTGGTAACTCTAAAAGTACTGCCCTTCTTGTCAAACTTATACTTTTCCTCAAGTTTTGCTTTGCCAATTGACAAGGATTATCGAAAATCATGTGGTCTGTTGGTCAAGAATCCAATTCTAACAGCCTCAAATACCAAAAAAAAAAGAAAAAACCTTCAGGGATTAAAATGGTTTTTTCTTGCAGATTCAACACAAAAGCTATATATATTATTTGTCGTTCCATAGCCTTATGTTCTCTATTTATATATAAGATCAAATTTAGCCTGACCATTGTTATCTTCTTTCTTAAAAGAGATAAAAGATTTAAGATTCGACTTCTCTCTCCATTTTTTTTTTAAATCATCAGTCTGTCCCTCTTACTTGAGAAACCTGTTTGCAGCCACAGATCACATTCTCACCAGTGACACCATTGTTGGTAGAGAATGAGTTCCTCCATTAATATTAATTAATGGCTGCTTACTTTTGACTAAAAGATTCCACAGTTGGGATTTACCAGGTTTCAACTGATGTGGTCCTAGAATAATTAAATCAGTGTTAGCCATAGCTGAGAGGAAAAGGTGAGCGTGGAGTGCCCCAAATAGGTTTTTCATGCTTCAAAAGGATGGTCAGCTTGCAATTTATATATATTTGTTTTCTGAACATAAAGATCCTGATTCAATTGCAGACTTCAAGATGAATGATGTGATAAAATGGTTTAAATGTTGTTTTGTCCTCCTTAGCAGGAGCATTATATTCTTATCTAGAACCATAGCTTGGCTGGCTGCAATAGAGTTTTCATCACCAACTTCAACAGGCTGCTGTTAGATAAGTACATAGAAGTACATTGTTTCAGTGACATTTCAGAAGCACTAACTTCCAGAATTTTATTGGAATTAAACAGTATTGCAAGTTGGCAAGGGAGAGCTGCATGATTCTAATTAACCTATCTCTTTCACCCTATCTTCCTTTTTTATCTCTTTGCAGAAAAATTAAGTATTAAACAAGACCGGACAAGACTTAAAATAGTGTTAATTATAAATTAATTTCTTAAAAACAAACACTTGATACTGACAGGCTTGTGCTGACCGAAATTATACATACTGGTATATGAAATACATAAATTATAAAACTTAGAGCTTAATTCGTGTAATCACACTTAAAAAGTAACATGAAAAGGTTTAAAATTTAAATTTTAGTACCCATAATTTCTTCTCTTATTCTTATATTACAATCTCATTTGTACTAAAATATAGCTTATATTAAATCAATCAATCTACTCTTTGCAGATTCCTTTTAAGAAGGGGACCATTACTTTTTTTATATTTTATTTTATCATAGGGCTGATTATATATATGGAGATTGATTTTTATATGTAACTTTATGCGTATTTGTGCAATATATTATTTTAAATTTAAAATTTAACTGAATTTAACATTTAATTTAATTTATTCGTACAATCATTTAAGATGCAATATATAATATATCTAAAATTTAAATATCAACATATATAATTCCTTTCTCATATCACGACCGATTTTATATCAAAAAATTTTAAATTTGACTTAGAAAGGCAGAAAAGCCTTTATTCGTTTTTCTTAATAAAAAAATTATATTTAGATTTCAACATGTTTATCAAATTTTCACATTCTAAAAAACGAGTGTGGGTGATTCAAATACTCAAGGATTTGAGACATCTAAATATTCAAATCTTAAGAAGGGGGAGGTGGGATCTATATGGGACGGAAAAGGATTATATTCTATCATGTAGCTCGAAATTATATAAAAAAAAATTAATTTAAAAAAGATTTTGAAAACTTCTTTTTAATTTATTGAGAAAGAAACCACTAAATTCCAAGTTACATGTTAAAAATAAAAAATTAAATAAGAACAAGCCTTGCATAACCTATTAATAAGCCTATACAAAGTAAATGAACAACTAATCTTTGACCAACCTATTAATTAGACATTTTTTTTGGAAAAAAAAAAAAAACTATTAATAAAATATCTCGATTCTTGGTCAAAGAGGAATGCCTGATAAACAAGGGGGCCAAGGCACTTGATATTTGAAAGCCATTAAAAAAATTAAAGAAACAATATAAATAAAATAAAAGTCGACATATTTGGACCAAAAGGACCCCTACAATTTGGGTTTGCCATAGCCACCGACCGCAATCCATTTGCTGCAATTTGGTTCGTTATTTGGTTAGATAGAATAAGTGGGGAGGCTGAAATGAAAAGGTTTGATGGAGGATGATGCATTGAATGCTTAAACTTTAGGAGACAAAGAATCAAAAGATCATTGAGCTTGTGAAAATCCTGAAGTAACCAAAAAGAAGAAAGAAAAAAGGAATTTGCCTACTTCTAAGTTGCCTATCACCTCACACATTATAAAAAATTAAACCCCTTTTTTGGGTTGCTCCATAATCCATGGAGAGAGAAAAAAGAGAGAGTGGGATAAACCCAGAAAAGGAATAATTGCATCTTGACCTTAGTTTATGAATTGAGAATTAGTCTAATAAAATCTCAAGTTTATTGTAACAAGTGTAAAGGACCATTTTTAGTGTAATGATTAATTTAGAGAAAGCCTTTTCTCAAATTTTTTTATAGAGTATAAAAATAAATAAATATAGATATATTAAGATTTAAATTTTAAATTTATTAAATATCAATTTTTAAAAATGATAATCTTTAAATGTTAATGCTACTTTATATTTGATTCAATTATATTCTATTAAAAAATTCATTTAAAATCCCCCTTATCCCTAAAATAAAAAATAAATAAATATTAAACAAAATTTTGAAACAAAATCCAACCATGATTAAAACTGAGTAAAGCAAAATTGGGATTTGATCTTGCTTGAGCCAGCCTAATTCTAATTTTATTAAACCTATTCACCATCTATGCTTCTGCTTTTCTCTTTCCTTCTTACTCTTTATTTTAAACCTACAATAATCATAAACATAATTCATCATGAAAAGAAGGGTAACCCTTGTCAATACCGAATAATCCTTTTGTGAGCTTTTATATCCTAAATCTGAATGATGTCTAATTAATTAAATTAACCTGTGTAAAGGGTAACCATTTATATTCTACAATGAATGTGAAATTGTTAAAATGGTTTCAATGAATATTTAAGAGTTACCAACATTACATATAAAAATTGAAATGAGATATATGATCATATGAAAAATGAAATCAAAACTTAATTGATGAAATGCATATCTTTTTTTTATTATTATTCAAAGAGGACAAACGTCCGTACAAAAAAAGAGAATAACAGGATTAAAATCTACATTCACATGTCTTTCTTAAAGCCTCTTAACCATTAGGTCAAGAGGTGAGAAATGCATATCAATATATATAAAAATGAGTCATTTGGAAATGGAAGTCTCCTCCTTTCGCAAATCTCTCCTCATTCTTTTTCTCCCTCTCTCTAATCTTTTTCTGCAAATTGGTAAAAATTTGTAGAAGAAAGAGGATAGAAGAAAACAGTAAAACACAACCCCATTTGTTGGCAACCATTCAATTAAAAAATAGGATGGGAAAGGGCAGAAATTTATAACTACGCTGAAAAAAATTGGGTTGACAATTGATTGAAGAGAATCAAGAAAGATCTAGAACAAGAACAAAGAACAGATGAGGGGAGCTCTTTTTCTGGAAGTTTTTAACCAATTTTTTAAATTTAAATTGCAAAACGTAGCGTTTAGTTTCATATCTATACAAGCAACAAGTTGTAAAGTAATTTTTCTATGGTCTAAATTTATCCTCCTAAGTTTTTTTAAGACGCCAAAGAGGTGTACAATAAATTAGAGTCACAGGATTATTTTATTGTTTGTATAGATTTTTTTTTTGTTACATTAGGAAGGTAAAGTTCTAATATAAGTAAGGGAAATGACGGAAGTTTGGTTCGAAATCAAATTCTTAACGTCTCTTCTTCAAACGTTTTTAATTACTAAACTAAAGGTTTGAGGACGTTTGTATAGATATTTCAATCATACGGATATTCTCCTTTTAACTCCATTGGTGTTTATAGAGCCAACAAACGAAATCGTATAACTATTTTTATATTTTTTTCTCATATTTAATTCTATTGATTTTTTTTTAAGTTGCAATCAAAATCAATTATTACATTATAATTAAATTACAATTCTAAAATTAATTATAAATTACAATAGACTCTGAATAATCTTCAAAACACTTTCACTAAATCTTTTAAAATTTGAATCAATATTATCAAAGCATTTAACCATCCCAATTTGCAATTACCACAGCACGGCAGTAATTCTCATGATAGTTAATTTATAGAGTAAAGGGCAATTGTTCATTTTCCCATATCAAGATGGCTTATAATATTAAACAAGGCGTATACAATAAGATAAGATTCCATGAGTTAGCTAACTATGAATAAAAATTTGACAAATTAACGCCACTTTCCCAAAAAGTTGTTGGTCTCCAAATCTTTTTAATTTCCGATCCCACCAGTAGTTCCTATATGATATTATCTTATGATATTATATGCATAATCAGTACATAAAATTTATATATTATTAATAAATTATAAATTATCGTATTATTAATAAGTAAATTTTAAAAAATAAAATTTTTAAAATGTAAATAACAAAAATTGATTTCAATTTATGTTTAAGAATTTTTTAACTTTCAAAA